ATCTCAATAAGAAGAAGCACCAAATGAACTTTCGAATCAGCCAATCAGCATCAAGGCTTGTAATTCTGGGAGCGAGTGAGCTAAGCATTCAGACAAGAATATCAAATTTCTGTACACAAAAACAAATTTAATTGGCCTGCTCCCTGCTCCATACATTCCACGCCATTATACTGTGGATATTTTAAACACCCTGTCATTTCTGAGGACCATGGCATGTACCCCTACAGGGGTTACTCATGGTGTAATATTTGTGTTCAGTGTGGGTTTTCTTTTGTTGGAATGAATCAAATAAAGCATCTAATTGATTGGGGTCACCTAAAAAATGGTGGCTTCAGAGCTCAGAACTTAAAGACAGAAAACAGTATTTTACAATTAATGTTCATGAATTTTGTCACCCTGAAGTCCACTTGTATCGTCTCGCATGAAAAATGACAAACCAATGTCATAGTTATATCATGGCATGGAATATTGCAATGCAGCAAACATTCAGAAAACTAAGTAAGGATAAGAATTTATGGATGAACAACTTGTTTATTACAATTAAGAGCGATGTTTCAGTGTAGTTCTAACACCGTTATCAAGTAAGTGATGAAATGCACATGTGTAATTTAGTTTTAACACTGTTGTGAATGGTATAAAAGTTACATCACTGTGCTGGATTTAACTTACTGTGTTTACTCCCTATAATAAGAAGTATTGTATTCAACGTAATAAGCGCCCACGGCAATATTTGCTAATATATTGGTTAGTGAACAATCCCAATTAGCACCCCTTCTGACTGATCAATGTACAAAAGAATTACTTATTCGCGTATAATACACATTCGTGTGTTATATGCACCCTTAATTATGAGCGTTTAAATTCTGGAAAAATATATGTCGTATATAAACATTTCAGGTGTCAGCATAAACCACGAAATTTATCTTTGTGCTCTGTTTTTTTCCACCAAAATAATATTACAATAAGAGCCCCTATTTCTAATTTTGTAAGCGCCCTGGGCGCTTATTACTTTGAATACGGTATGTGCATAAATTTGAAAGCGACTCCAAACATAAAAAATGTAGTCCGTTGCTAACCATGCACACAGCCCTAGTACACGATCCCGTCAACGTGGAATTACTGTCTCTGCTATACATATACCTACATTTCATAGATCAAGATGATAAGGCAATGTACTGAACAAAACCCTCACAAATGAGGGATAGAGGAAGTATGGCTATCACATGGATAATCTACTCACAGCTGTCAAGGACTGGACTCAAAACTAACTGTAGTTCATTTACATCAGTTTCATACTGTGACTTCTATACCAGCAGCCACCGGCAAGCCTTTGACAGTAGGAAATACAATAAATCTCAAATATGCACTTGGTGTATATTATTTCAGAATTTACTTTGACCGGATATCTTTAAAAGGCAGACATATTTTTAAATCAGAGAGTTTTTTTCTCGTATTGTTTTACAGGACCAGACAGATCAAACGTTTAATCTGGGCATAAAACCAACATATTCCTTGACTCCAAGTCATTAGTCAAGACAAGGCGCTTAAATATTTTTGGTTGGTTTGTTGTTGCACGCTGCACTCAGCAATATTCCAGCTATATGACGGAGGTCTGTTATTAATCGAGTCTGGACCTGACAATCCAGTGATTGACATCACGAGCATCGATCCACGCAATTGGGATCGATGACATGCATCAACCAAGTCAGCGATCCTGACCACCCGGTCCTGTTAGTCGCCTTTTACGACAGGCATATTCGCCTTTTACGGCAAGCATGGGTTGCTGAAGACCTATTCTACCCTGGATCTTCGTGTTACTTTTCTGTATGCCAAAATGTGTCAGCGGGTAAAGGCCATAAACGTACATGTCTTGTATTCAAATATAAAGTCATGATGTTTATTATATGATTCGTATCTAACTTCCACGATGTATTACAGGAGTGAAATTTTGGGTGTTAAAAGTGCACCTGATACTGAGATGTTAGATAATGTGATTTTTGTAAAGAATCTAACATTTGATGTTATCGAGGATGAGTATCATTTCTTATTAATATGTTCAAAGTTTAAAAATTATAGAGTTAAATATATTACTGAATATTACTGGCAAAACCCAAGTAAAGACAAGACTCTGTCTGCCATTTATCTGTAACTTGTAAAACAATGGGCTTGTGGCCCAATTGCTCTGTTTGAATCCCCTTCTGTTGATGTTATGGAGCAGTTAATCTTATTAATGCCGTCTTATTCTTTGAAGTATCTAATTCACTAGATGAGAATGCAACATATATATATCGTTTGACCGAATATGAGCATCCATTAGGTCAAACGATTTTATAAACAGACACTGAGTCCCACGTTCTGTATCACTGAAAAAACACAAGCAACGGGGCACAGATTAACCACAACTTCTGAACACAATCACATTAACACAATCTGGTTAATCTGAACCACCTCAGGAGTTGGCCCGTAAAGATCTGGGGTAAAATAGGTCTTCAGCAACCCATGCTTGCCGTAAAAGGTGACTAGGCTTGTCGTAAGAGGCGACTAACGAGATCGGGTGGTCAGGCTCACTGACTTGGTTGATGCATGTCATCAATCCGCAAAGCATGGATCGATGATCATGTTGTCAATCACTGGATTGTCTAGTCCAGACTACAATACTTACAGACCGCCGCCATATAGCTGAGTGCGGCGTCAAACAACAAACAAACAAATCTAAGGAGTTGGAGCACCTTACTCTGCTCACCACTGGGAGGGGCGGTCGGGTAGCCTAGTGGTTAAAGCATTCGCTCGTCACGCCGATTCCCGACATGGGTACAATGTGTGAAGCCCATTTCTGGTGTCCCCCGCCGTGATATTGGTGGAATATTGCTAAAAGCGGCGTAAAACTATACTCACTCACTCACCACTGGGAGATGCTCATTATTTAAGTAGGTGAGACTAGGCAGTGCTACTGGTCACGCTTCACTGACCTGTCCTATGATTGGCACCTCTGACAATCGGGGCGTCTGACAAGTGGGAGTGAACTAGAACTATGCTCTAGTGCCAATTTCCCATCCAAGTCCAGACAATGTGATTAAAGCTATGTGTAAAACTGGGGTGTTGTATCTGTGGGACAATCATTAGGTGTTTGATTGTCATACATCAAACAGTTTGAAAGAGCAGGCAAAATGACATGTATCAAACACGCAAGCACTGGCAACTGTTTTTGAGTCCAGTCACTCATTAACATCGTTGGTCATAATGTTTTTATATCCATATTGTGAAATGGGTGGTTTAATCATTGTCACCAGGGTAGCCGTGTGTTGCCTCATGCCTCGAGTCATCTTTTCTATACTATCTTATGTTGCATTTGACAAAAGTCAAAGAAATGACACGTTTTTGATTAAGAGGTGAAGTGAAATGGGGTTTAACACCACGTCCAAGATTATTGCACTTACATGGCAATGTGCATGCACGTGTGATGCTGGTTGTTCTAGTCCGGACTAATGTCGATTTTATAGTGTTAGCCCACTCAGATATCATGCTGCAGTTTAAAATGAATACCCCACTCAGACACAGACTCTGACCAGTCCTTGTTTTAGCCCCTTAATGCCGAGCGCCAGACAGGGTAACAACAAGTACCATATTTTAACGTACTATTGTATGACGTGACCGGAGATCGAACCACGCACCATTCACTTTCCAGGCAGACACTCTACCACTAAACCACGGAAGTGGTCGTCATGATTATGACTGACCCACGCGGATGAGGGATTGGCACAGGAAGTCTACACCTTACTGGTCCCCTGTGACGGTTTCTCTATCATGTGTTTGTTCACTTCTCAGCTTAGACATTGTGACCTTCTCTGGCCACAATTTTTACTTGCAAGTCAATTGGCCTTTAAATCTAAAAACATCCTATATTTGGGCTGATTAAATATAAATGCCAAGTAAAAACTATTCTGCTAACCCAGTATCCTCATCTTGAAAGTTGTGTAATTGGAGCTAAACATTTTTCATTTAGGTCTAATTGATGCAGCACAAAAAACAATCCCACCACGATGCTATCTCATAGGCAGTTCACTTTCAAGGAAGGGTCGGACAGCTTCATTAATAAATCTTGCCACAAACAGCAGTCAGTAGCTGAGACACAGTGTGTTGATATGTTGCTTTGGTTTACCGTTAATTGAATTGTATGCAACAAGTCGGAGTTACTCCGCACACATGCCTACGGTGCGCTGAACCGACCCACCTCTCTAATCACAAATAATGGGACAGAATTTAATGAATTATCCGCTTCAAATTCCTGACAAAAATTGATTACACAACCAAAACCTTTTATAGTACGTAACTAAAGGTGTTGACATGACATAATATTGCTAACCAAACTGATTCATAGAATAACATTTACATTATCTTCAATGTAAAGAGACTTTGCCATATGCGTTTAAAAGATTATTTAAATTTTCAGTATTTCCAGTCGTAATCTGCATGTATTGTCAAAGTCAAGACTAAAATGGACAATGTATGGGATATTTGACATACTTTGATACTGAAGGAATATAGTGATAGATATAGAACATACATTTGGTAATAATATTGATTTCCACTGCTAAATGCAAACACATTTTAACGTTCTTTCTTAAAATACTGTTCCACTTATTATCAATAAAACGTATCTTTCTTCCTCAACGTTTTAAATCACGACCGTCGTGCCCTGTTCAAATCACTGTGCACGAGACGGTAATAATATATCCCCGCTAAATGCTTGCAAGTTTTACACAATTAAATACATTGTTGATGTTGAAGGCGTGCTATGAAGTTAAATAAACATTCATATCGCACACCCATTATTTCCTGTGTTGTATCCGCGAAATATACAACGGTATTGACTTCAATGTGTACATAAGCTGTCTACTACGCCTACACGAGCAGGTCAACTCATTCAGTTTACGAAACAGGGCAACTTTTGGCGGTGTGTTTATCAGAAGAAATCGTTGCACGAAGTTTAAATCGCTTACCTCATAGTTGCGTCCTCGATCGGTGAAAATTAAGTTAAGATGGACAGTCACGGCAGGACTGTATATTCGTCAGATTGTCCAATGGCTTTACAAGGCTGGGACATTTGCTGGTGATTCAAACAGGCTGAAAATAGTTGGGTCGACACCGCGCGACCAGTGGTCGGGTCATCAAATAGCTCACACAACATAACACACAAGCTATGCTGGACTTGCCATGCAGCGAACTAGGTGACAAGTTATATTCTCGGGTTGTTGAAATCTACTGAAGCTATCCGCTCTGGTTCCCAGTCACACATGCCATCGCCCTCACTGACTAACATGATGTACCATCAACCACTGATTGCTACCACCATACACACGTACTCGCACTCCTTTAGCGATACACACGGCGACGGTAATGTACTGTTAGTGGAACATTCCATTTGGCCGGGGGGTGTCAGGTTGGGCGATTCAAACCATCTACTGCCGCTTCGATTAAGATTCTACTGAATATTCCCACGAAGGTTATACAAAAATGCCAGTTTGAAAATAAGTGTTTCGAACTACTAAGAAAAGATACCTATTATGATATATATTTATATATAAAAGGACTTTGAGAAGCGGTAAGTGACTTTGGAATGTTCCATTATTCAGACTTAATTGTTACACCTGTCAAATGCTGACCTGTCAATCAACAGCTGACAATACACGTTACACACCAGCGCTTATATATTTATATATATATATTGAACGGTACATGTAACGCGCATATCTCATCTTCATATACGTTAGTAAACCGAGACAGGTAATTAACAGATGCTAACTGTAAATCTGAATAAAGCGGCGCCACTCACTCACTATATATCAAGATAACTACCTCACTATACCATATATGTCATGAAAACTACCTCACTATACCATACATTTCAATATAACTCTCTCAATATAACACACATGTCAAGATAACTACCTCACTATACCATACATGTCAAGAAAACTACCTCACTATACCATTCATTTCAATATAACTCTATCACTTTAACACACATGTCAAGATAACTAACTCAGTATACCATACATGTCAAGATAACTACCTCACTATGCCATACATGTCAAGATAACTACCTCACTATACCATACATGTCAAGATAACTACCTCACTATACCATACATTTCAAGATAACTACCTCACTATACCACACATGTCAAGATAACTACCTCACTATACCATACATGTCAAGATAACTACCTCACTATGACATACATGTCAAGATAACTACCTCACTATACCATACATGTCAAGATAACTACCTCACTATGCCATACATGTCAAGATAACTACCTCACTATACCATACATGTCAAGATAACTACCTCACTATGACATACATGTCAAGAAAACTACCTCACTATACCATACATGTCAAGATAACTACCTCACTATGTCATACATGTCAAGATAACTACCTCACTATACCATACATGTCAAGATAACTACCTCACTATACCACACATGTCAAGATAACTACCTCACTATGCCATACATGTCAAGATAACTACCTCACTATACCATACATGTCAAGAAAACTACCTCACTATACCACACATGTCAAGATAACTACCTCACTATACCATACATGTCAAGATAACTACCTCACTATACCATACATGTCAAGATAACTACCTCACTATACCATACATGTCAAGAAAACTACCTCACTATGCCATACATGTCAAGATAACTAACTCACTATACCATACATGTCAAGATAACTACCTCATTATGCCATACATGTCAAGATAACTACCTCGATATACCATACATGTCAAGATAACTACCTCACTATACCATACATGTCAAGATAACTACCTCACTATACCACACATGTCAAGATAACTACCTCGATATACCATACCTGTCAAGATAACTACCTCATGTAACCATACATATCAAAATAATTACCTAATTATACAGTGTTTATATAGATATATCAAGACAACTACACCACTATACTATATATATCAAGATAACTAACTCAAATTAGGATACATGCCAGTATAATTACGTCACTTTAGGATACATGCCAATACAATTACCTCACTGTGGGACACATGTCATGAAGGTAATTATTGTATTATATATATTAGGAAGGCAATATGGTTTTTCGTATCGTGGCCACAAGTATTAAAATGCATCGATACCGTGACATGCCGAAATGATTAATATCAGCCAAGATAACATAACATCATACAATATTAATTTTATTGATCATTAGACTAACAGAACGCGCTGGGTGTCATGACTTGTCTTTTGCTAGACTTTTTCCAGCGGTGTTCAGGCGCTGCACGTTACTGTGCATTACCGTCATGCAACTGAAATATTCTTATCGCGGCATTCAAATACGCACTCACACACACACGCACACACACGCACGAACACATACACACACACGCCCGCACACACGCACATGCACACGCACCATAAACTCTCACGAGTACATTTCATAGACAATACGGAAATTAATAGGTGCAAACACGACATCTTAACAGTACTATAACATAACAATAAAATATACGCACAAATAAAACCAATGAACTGGTATCTTGACTAACCGATCCACTTTCAAACCATAATCAGATATGTCCTAATTTAACCATGTACCTTTAATTTATCGCAATAGTCAATTAAAAATACTCCTCTATTAATAAAAATCCATAAAAAGTAATGAACACCATGCGTGCACCGTCATGTGATGATAAATGTAAAATTAGCTCCATTCATAATGTATGACCTTGTCTATAAATGAATTGATAACTATAAGCTGTATTTCTATTTCAATCAAATGTAGGTAAAATCATATTTCAGGTAGAGTAAAGCCTGTTTGCACTATTTCTAGTATCAACGGCGAGCAACGAAACAATTCATGACGATGGTAAAGGCGACCCTCATCCCCACCACACGATCCATGCGCCATACGCGAGTGACGTCAAGCAACTCAGCCGATATGAAAATAGTGCGTCTCCTCAAATAGATGTCTCTCCTTATTCTCTCAGGTAGTTATTTGAAATAAGAGTCCTACCATTCTATATACATCCATGTTTCTTGTGAGTTTCGTCAATACCAGGTGTGTATATTAATTTGTGCTTTCGAGAAAGCTACATTCAACGCCATAGAAATAATGTTAAAATTTAATTGCAAACATTTAAATGAACTCGGGATGATCCATTTTTGACGTTTGTAACCCGAAACCTGTTTGTACAGCGTTACGTCAAGTACGAAAGCTTAATTTTGGGAATGCTGAGTTGGGGCTAATACTTTAAGTGCAGTGCGAATAAGATGGATGGTGTAGAATAAATGGGCTCATAAAGTGTCTTAAACTTTACAAGGGCAGCAGTTCAGCGACACTAGATTTACAGCTATACTTCGCTATACTTCACTGTTAATGCCGTTCAAGTCTAACCAGTAATAATCCAATGCGTTTAGAGTGAGTGAGTGAGTATGGTTTTACGCCGCTTTTAGCAATATTCCAGCAATATCACGGCGGGGGACACCAGAAATGGGCTTCACACATTGTACCCATGTCGGGAATCGAACCCGGGTCTTCGGCGTGACGAGCGAACGCTTTAACCACTAGGCTACCCGACCGCCCCTCAATGCGTTTAGATGTTATCCTTATACGTGACAAGACTTCATATACGAATCCCTTTCGCCAAGCACACAAACTAAGAAGAATAAAACCATGACGCTTACTTTGCAAATTGCGATCTTTTGACAAGTCTTTGCTCATGCAGTTTTTCTCCAAAGTTTGTAATAAGTGTCATTTTTTAATCACTTAAGTTATGCCTCTGTATATGCGTGGGTTCTTCAACCAATCAGATATCAGCTTTCTAAGCCAACATCGATTCGGAAATTTTGATGAAACTTTATAGAGAGCGATGTATATAACACCTCGTGTGCTAGTCCTCGATAACTTCCGTTTGTAACATGCAAATAACATGGCCATCTTCCCGAGGCAAGGGAGTTAATAGACAGTCCAGTTTCCACCCTTACTGAACTTGACTCGAATTTCCAGGTTCGATCGTAGCGCCACCAGTGGCTATCAAGAGTTATGTCCCTTCTTTGTCCCCCCCTATTGACCAATCAGACTCCACCTTTCATATCACTTGCATTTGCTTCAAAACAAAATGGCGGCGCCCAGTTAAGACGATCTGATCGATAATAAAGATCTATATTGTAATAAAACGGGTCTAACTTCGCAATGTGCATCAAATTACGTGTGCACCTTGATTAAAAACATGAAAACATTTGGAAAATATCTGTTCACGCCTTGTTGGCGGTACACAAGCTTTGCAAATGCTGCAAACGACCGAAACCTGCACGGCAGTTTACGAATCCTGATGTCGATTTCGTTACGCGATTTTGATTGGACTATGGGTAGACTCGTTAGTCCAGCCTATATGTATAACTCCATAATTCCAGCCTAGTTCGGTAAGGGTGGAAACTGGACTTATATACTAGAAGCCAGTTAACTACCTTGCCTCGGGAAGATGTAACATGGCCCGACTTTATCAGTTGTAAATTGTTATTGCCAAAAGCACTTCTACTACTTTATTACGCCCCTTACATATTGTGAGTATAACAATAAAGTCAGGTGAACACTGGTCTCGGTCAACCCGTAAATTTAGTCTCATTAAGGTCAGACTTTGTTTTCCGATACCATACCTCAAGATATGAGGACGAAATCCACAGAATGTCGCGTCAGGTGAACCATGAACGAACTTTGACCACCCAATCAAAATGTAAGATGCGTGGGTTTTTCAACCAATCAGATATCAGCTTTCTAAAGTCAACATCGATTCGGAAATTTCAATGTTAGCAAATGAAAACCACCACAGAAGAAAATGATAACATTTTGGGTATACTTTCCATGGCGCTCAGAAACAACGGTGTATAAAACATTCACAATAATATAATAGCGCGTCGTTACATTTTTGCAGTAGGAGCTCATCGATTATATTCATTTTCGAGATACAGAACCAGATATATTGGTCCGAATGTTACGCTGACCCCCACTAAGAATTTCACTAGCCGCGACTTCTTGGGACTGGCCATTTATCATAGGGGAGAGGCGGTGAGATTCAGGGAGGTCATGATGAAAAAATGACACAGCGAAAGAGAGAGAGAGAGGGGGGGGGGGGGATTCGAATGAGAACGTCGCTTAAGATAGTCATCCAATCAAATTACTGAAAAGGTAGATTGAGATGTGACGTCAGCATTTACACATTTACATCAAATATATAAGAAAAAAATAAAACATACAATATGCGAGCAAATAAATAAGTTGTGTTCACCTTGTACATACAGTAAAACCTCTTAATCAGACCTGTACGTACCATTTCTAGTGAAATAGTCCGGAATA